CCCCCCTGACAGCTCTTCTTTTCCTTCAGTGCCGCCCACTGTCCAGGCCAGGCAGAGCATCGTGAATGCCACCGCCAATCTCGGCCAGTCCATCACCCTGGTGTGCGATGCCAAAGGCTTCCCAGAGCCCACCATGAGCTGGACAAAGTAAGAAACTGGCTCATGCCTTTTATCATGGACTTGTGGTGAAGGGAGCATGGAGCCTGCTCTGTGTTGGCATGTCCGTTGCATGCGTATGGGCTGCTTGGGAAGATCAGCTCTGGGTGCAGCCTTTCTGTAGATTCCTACAGAAGGAATCTGTAGATTTTGTAGATTCTGTGTATTCCTTTCTATAAGCTTCTCTCGCCTTGTGCATTGGACCCCTTCCAATGGGGCAGAACCAGAGGGTGTGACCTTGGAGGCCCTCTCTGGAATGTTTGTAGGCAGTTTATAGCCCTGGGAGAGAAGCAGAGGTTTGAGTAGAGGAAGCAAATTTGTGTTTGTAGAAGTACAATTTGGGGTGTTGACTTTCTGTGAAGACTGAGTCTTTCCCATGGGCTCCGTCTGCATTCTGTGGAAATGGGTTAAAAATGAACATCTTGCTTCTGTGGTCAAAATCACGGCACTTGGCATTTCTGCACTGTGTAGGGATGGGGAACAGATAGAGAATGAGGAAGACGAGAAGTACGTCTTCAGCGATGACAGTTCTGAGCTGACCATCAGGAAGGTGGATAAGAACGACGAGGCTGAGTACGTGTGCATTGCCGAGAATAAGGCTGGAGAGCAGGATGCGTCCATCCACCTCAAAGTCTTTGGTAAGGACGGTGGGGGTCAAGGTCATTGTCTTGCCACAGTTCCTCTTACCCCGCACACTCCATCCACCAGCAGGACCCCGTCCTCCAGCGGGACCCTGTCCTCTCTGCCTTGGAATCTGTTCCAGGTGCAACGACGTCTGCCATCTCCACCCCCTACGCCCAAGTCCACGCTGTCCGCCTCCTCTCCTGGTCAGTGACACGGTCTCCACCCCGTGGTCCCCTTCTGCCCCTCCTCACAGTAGCCAGAATGACCTCAAGCACCAGTCCTCTGTTTAAAATCCTCCCATGGCTTCCCGTTGCAACCAGAATAAAATCCAGACTGCCTGCCCTGGCCCGTGAGCCCTAACCTGAGCTAGCCCCTGCCTTCCTGTCCAGCCTCGTCTTTCGTCCACTTTGCTCGACACTGAAAACTCTCCAACCCCTCAGGCCCCCCTTCTGTGGCTCAGCCAACACTGAGCTTGTTCCTTGTCTTCGGGACATTGCACTTGATACTTCTCCTGCTTGGAATGTCATTCCCCCACATCTGCTCTGATCCGCCTTCTGCTGCACCATTCAGACCTCAACTCGACCCACCTTCTCGATGAGTCCTTCCTGTACTCCCCTGGCTAATGCACCACCACCACCCACCCACCTCCGCTGAGCACTTCCATTGATCTGACTGTATCTTCTTCACCACACTTGTCCTGCCTGGACTGGCCTCATTTCCATATCTGCTCGGGGATTGTGGTCTCTGACCTCCACGAAGCGTGTAAACACCAAGATAACGGAGTGCTGGCTGTTCTGTCTCTCTCCTGCTTCATCTCTGCCACTCCAAACAGCGCCAGACTCGGGAAGGCCCGTGGTAGACATTAGTGACCAACCGGCTGACTTTCTGTGTCTCCCTTGCTTCTTTCCGTGGCCCATGTGAAACAGTGCCACCAAAGTCATGAGAAGAGCCCCTAGTCTCTACTCACTCCATCTCGATAAAATCGGTTAACTTCCATTCATTTGGAACTGAAATGTATTTTGACCTGACCTTGAAAAGAGAATTTGTGGCAGACAAATGCTTAATCTATTGGCTTTCAACATTTCCTGCTCATGTTTTTTTTAAAAAGACATGTGGGACGCCTGGGTGGCTCAATAAGTTAAGCATCCAACTCTTGATTTTGGCTCAGGTCATGATCTCAGGGTCGTGAGATAGAGCCCCTTATCAGGCTCCATGCTCAGCTTGGAGCACCAAGGGGCAGCTCTGGTTCACATGGTTCCAAGTCACTATAGTGTGTGCCTGGGAAACCTGCTTGAGACCTGCTTGTGGGGCCTGATCATAGATCTTTGGAAGATCAAGAGCTTGTGTGCAGTTGGACCTGCTAATCATAGATGAATCTTATTTCTCCATTAATGACAGCTGGGTTTAGAAACAGGTTATTAGTTTGGTTCATATCAACTGGATATACTGGAGAGTGAAAGCTAATGGCCTTGGGAAATATTCTTGATAGTTTTTTCTCTAATTCTCTTCCCCAGATTTAAATCACTCAGATTTCAAGTTCTTCCATATTATAAAGATAGGTGCATTGTTAACGTATTCCTTCATTTAACAGATAGTGATTAAGCACCAGTGTTGCTGGACCGAAGGGCATCTGAGATATGAGTATGACGTGGTCCTTTAACTCTAAGAAACATGAGGAGGGAGATGAACATAGAAGCATATAAATTATAATAGAGAGTGTCAGCCAGCAATATTTGAGTGCCTTCTGTGGGCCCAGCCATTGTCAAAGTGATGAGGATGAAAAATACGCGCTCTGTCCTGATCCTTGGGCTCACGGGCTAACATGGGTGACCAAGGCTGAAATTTTTAGTGATGGCCCATTGTAAGGACTTCATAATGGTAATGGGCACAGTGTTTTAGAGGAAAAGAAGACCTGTGGTCATGCGAGACAGAAGGCAGAGAGGTCTTCACAAACGGTGTGCTGTTTCCCAAGCAGGACTTCCCAGGTGCAGAAGGGTGGGCGCAGGCGAGGACCCCAGGCCACCCAGGCACAGACGCAGAGGCAGGAAGACCGCGTGTTACGCTGACTGTGAGCTCCTTGCAGACAGGGACCGTGTACCCCCAGCTACGAGGACAGTGTCTGGCAGATCGCAGGTGCTAGAGTTTGCCTAAGTGAGAGCAGAGCCATTTGTTTTATGAATGAAGCACAGTGCAAATGGCAAGGAGATGAGTCTGGAAATGTGTAACCATCACTTGTCTCGGGAAATTCTTATATATTAGCCCCATAAAGTAATAATAATACCCGACACGAAGCGAGCGCTTAAAATGTGTCAAGCACCATGTGAAGTATTGTGTGTAAACTGACTTTTAATCCGCAGCACAACACTGTGAGGTAGAGTTCATTCTTTTTCCTATTTCACAAAAGAGGAAACTGAGCCCAGAGAATTGGGTGCCCTACCCAAGGAGCCAGGGTTCAAACTCAAACAGTGGGCTTGGAAGTCCCTTTCCCTGAGCTAGCAAAGGGGAGTTACTACTCCATGAACTCCACTGAACACAGACTACATCTGAATTACAGATGGGATGGCTGGGAATACCGAAGTTAGCGTGCCCCCCCTTTGCCACCATGGATCACACGGTTTCTCAGTAGAGATACACTCAGTTCTCACTTGGCTTGTCAGGAACAGATCTTAGATTCTTTTCCAGGCGTCTCCGGTGCGGGTGGCTGCCCCAGGAAGGAGGCGTGGGTAGTGAGTCAGGAGCCACATGGGGCCGGTAGAGAGTGAAGAGCTGGATCGGGTCTAGGGGAGGAGCTAACGAGGCAGGGAATGAATGTAGGATGCAGGAACTGTGGCAAGACAGGCTTTGTCTTTCCACCCACCTCCCTCACCAGGCATGCCCTCCTGCACCCCCCCCCCCAACACATAGAGTTTCTTCCCCAAGACCGCAGGTGGGAGAATAGATGCTAGTCCAGAAGAGCAAATAGAGGAGAGGTGGCCAGACTCCTGCAGAGACAGGCAAGTAAGCCACAGACTCCTAGGGACGCTGTCTAATCCAGCCCCCATCTCGAACATGAGTCCCCCCCGTGATCTCCGGGGGAGAGTTCACGTAGCCGCCTTGGAGTAACCTGGTCCCTCTTGTACACACTGCTTTTCCTCTCCATTTCACATTCTTAACCTCCTGTCCCTCCTCCTCTGGCCTCTCTTGGTTTAGGAGATTGGTAGTAAGGCCAGGACACCAGGTGGGGAGGGGCTAGCGAGGTAGGGCTCCCTCTTTCTTTTACTCTCTGTCCGTCCCGTTCCCCGTGGCTTGCCGTGAGGAGCGGCACGCGGGGGGAAGCGAGTTCCCCAGTGGTGGCAGTGAGGCAGAAGAGCACAGAAACCAATAGCTCGGATGGTAGACTAGGGCTCAGAGCTCCTGGGATTCCAGATGGGAAGGCAGTTAGTAGGTACAGGGCACATCTAAATTAGAGACTACCATAATTGTACCTTACCAACATCACTTTTCCCTAAGAAAGGGACACGTTCTAGCATGCATTGCCCTAGTTATCAGCCAGAAGCTCTTTTTACTAAGTACTTATATCCTACCTTTCTTTAAATTTGGCAGTGAATTTCCATTGCTTTTCTCCCCCATGGGCCCTTCTGAAAAAGTATTTTTGTCTCCGCGTATTCCTATTATGCTCACACAAATGCTCTTGAGGTCTCATGCTGCTGTGGACTAAGGCAAGTTCACCAGTGGGCTTGCTTATCTGAGCCCTGAGGACCAAAGCAGCCTTTGTGAGTTACAGCACCATGTAAAGCCTGAAGGGAGGTGCACCTGGTCATGTCCAGCCTCTCAGCACAGAGGAGCAGGGCCCCAGCACCCTCCGTGAGCTGGGGAGGCAGGAGCCTGGGTTGGGGTGGGAATAGACGAGACCACCTCTCAGTGGCAGGGTGCAGAGTCATGGGCACGCCAGAAGACGAGAGCCGTTGTGCTGGGAAAACTCCCAAGGACATCTGTGCTCACAGGAGGGTCCGTGGGGAGAAGTGCAATGGAACGACCTGAGGCAGTAAGTCCCATGGCAGCAGGTGGAAAATAGAACAAGAATCCAAAGTCAAGGGCCCACAACAGATGTTAATTAAGATGGTGTAAGTACCATCTGAAGACAAAACCTGGAGATGTTCCTCTGGATGCTGGTGTGCAGAGGGAAGTGACCTTGCAGCTGTCCCTGTTTGCCTGATGATGATGCCCATTGTCCCGGGGTAATTATTTAGAGCATTGCTTTTCACTCTCAAGAGTGCCCTGATTTGGACAATAAATTATATTGATATCCCAACTCCAAGGCAATATCTTGAGCCTTCAATGAGTTCTGACAATAGCCTTGCTGCTTCTGTAATGCAGAGAGGTTAGGTCATTAGTGAGAAGCTTGCCTGCCTTCCAACAGCCCTCTGTAGACCATACAAAATTAGCTGTTGTTAATAGTGTTTTTAGGAAGAATATAGTTTGCTTTTTTCTAAAGATTTGTGCTGTGCACCCTTTGTAACCCTCTGGGAAATGGAGCCACCAAACCAGATATTAATAGACATTAACTACCCCTTGTTTGTCTTCTATTAACCTTTTGATGCTGGGACAAAGTGCTAGGGGTCATGACAAGGCCAGCAAACACTGTCTAGGTCACCATATCCATCTAGGTTTCAAGAGGCCAAAAATTCAGCCTTTCTATAACTGCCTCCAGACCTCAAAACAGCTGTTCAGTTCAGTGAATTCAGTTGTTTGGCTGAATTTTATTTGATTTTTTAATACTTTTTTGAAGATTTTATTTATTTTAGAGAGAGAACACAAGCAGGGTGAGGGGCAGAGGGAGAAGCAGGCTCCCCACTGAGCAAGGAGCCCAATGTGGGGCTGGATCCCGGGACCCTGAGATCACGACCTGAGCTGAAGGCAGATGCCTAACTGACTGAGCCACCCAGGCGCCCCGTTTTTACACTTTTCAATCTGTGATTTTAACAGTGTAGAAATTCAACTTTTATTTTATCTTTCTCAAACCTCCTGTCCAGCCGCACTTAGCAGTTAGTCCATTCGGTATGAGCTGTAACCACCTTGAAAGTCTTATTTATCAAGATCGACACAAAACCTTCCTGTGGGAAAACCTCACTCAAGTGAACTCCATCAGTTCCAATTTGTGAGCATTTGGCCCCATTGGATTGAGACATGACTGGGTGCTTGCCATCAAAAAAGAATTTGCCAAGCAAGCGTTTAGTACAGATTAACTGTAGCAGAATATTTAGCCTATATGGATAATTTTGTATAGAAGCAGGTATTTGCTACAGAAAATGCACAGCCTTTAAAGCACTTGCCATTAAAGCAGAATCGGGGGCGTCAACTTGTAGGAAGTATTTGGGCAGTCATTTATTAACCTACTCAGGAGCAGCATATGAATTTGCACTTCTTTCAAAAATTATCCCATAAATTTGATTTATTTATTTTTTGTTTGTTTATCTAGCCTCGTCTTTTCCCCCATTAGTGAAATAAGTTGCATTTGTGCAGCGTTCTTTTCTCTTCTATGGAAGATTTCGCAATTTCAGAGTGTAATTGTTTTAAATCAGGAAAAGTCAATTTTCTCTAATGTTTTAACGTTTAACTCCAATTCCAAATGCTTGCTTTTTCTCACATTACCCAAAACATTTGGAAAATGAACCCATCTCTCCTTCCTATCCCAGCCCACTCCGCAGTCCGCAACCCGTCTCTTGCCCCATTTCCCTGCTTGGGTCAGTACTAACACAACTCTCCCAGTCAGTGAGAAGCTCACAGTCACTTGCACTCCTTCTCATTCCCTTTTGATTCTTGCCATGGCTCCTTCGCCCTCTGTTCACTTGGCACGTCCGTGAAGCCTTCGTGAGCACCTCTCTCAGAGCTGCCCTTCCCTGTCTGCCCCCCATCCCACCCTCCAGGACCACCTGGTTCGGGACTCTGTTCCGCCACACCGGGGGCACTGTCAGAGTTGTCAAAATTGGTTTTCCCACCTCAAGGTTTTCTCCGTTCTCAATCTTGAGTTTTTCCCGGATTAACCTTCTTAAAGTACAAATGATCATTTCATTCCTGGGATCAAACACCGCCAGTGGGCTTCCATCGGCGCCCGGAGATCATTCAAAGCAAGCACTGTAACCAGGCAGCCATGACCCAGCGCCTGGACCCAGCGCCTGGGCCCAGCACCACCTCCCCCTGCTGGGATGCAAACACGGGCCCCCATCACACTGCCCTCCTCACGTGTCCTTGCTTCATTGCTCACAGTTAAGCAGTTTTCTACACTGAGAATGACTCTATCCCAAAGTTCCACGTGCTAAAGATGTCATGGCCCAGCCCGAAAACTTCCTCTTCATGAAAGCTCCAACCAGACAAGTGCTCTTCCTCTGCCCCATGCCTTCTCCACCCTCTTCTTTGGACGCTCTTTCTCTAGGGGATCTTGTTGTTAATGGTCTCACATTGATGTTGTCACATGCCTATTCAGTTCTGTAGGTCCTGCAACACCTAGAATAGGGTCTTATACTCAGTAAGTACATAACCTGTGTTGAGTGGGTGCATGGTATAATTTAAACCCAAAAAGCTAAACCAATCAGATAAACTCATGAACATGTCTTTTCAGCAAAACCCAAAATCACTTACGTAGAGAACCAGACCGCCATGGAACTAGAAGAACAAGTCACTCTGACCTGCGAAGCCTCAGGAGACCCCATTCCCACTATCACCTGGAGGACTTCTACCCGGAACATCAGCAGCGAAGAAAAGGTATGATGTCACCAAGAGTTTCCGGGCCATGGGATGCAAGCTCAAAGCAGGTCATGTCTGTCCAGGGCCCCATTCTCTTCGGGGAGCCGGAAGATGGGATGCAGGCCCCAAAGGCCATGCGAGGTCCCACGGCCTCCATCCTCCAGACTGCCTGGCTGTGGCCTGATCAGTGTGTGTCAGGGCCACAGTTTCCTGCATAGATCTGCAGGGGTGTGAGGTTCCTGGGCATGGTCAAGTTAGATGTTCTGGGGAGGAAGCAGGTGGTGCTTTTCAAACCCAGGATTACGGAGCTATGAGGAGCAAGGAGAAGCCAAGAGCCTGGTGGTCCAGCTATCATATCAAGAGTACCGAAGGGAATGTGTCCCAGAAATAGCAGGGATCAGAATGAGCCCTATTAATTCTTCTCCTCGTGTTTTGTACACTCATGCTGTACATGCGCTGTATGCACAAAAGCTTGGTTGCCTTTGTGTCTGCCTGTATTTTCGGTCACATTTGGATATCATTTTGTTCTGAAGGCAAAAATAATTAGCAGTTTCTACATGACGATGATTACACTGGGTTCTCCAATACATTCTTAGCTCTCAGTGGTCCATGGTAGCAACCTTCCTGGCAATTTGAAATGACTGGGAAGATTTAGCTTTAAAGCATGTAGATTTATAGGCCACCAGGAAGTTGTTATTATTATTGACAGTATATACAGATTGAGGTAACCCCACATCAGGCAGCCCTTTGCTACTGAGTAGGCCAAAAGCAGGAGGAAGAAGCAGCTTGGTTTTAAAGCAACTTAAACCCTCTTATGGCACTTCTCCAATCTCATCTCATATAGCCTATAGTAATACGCTTCATATTAGTTGTCCAAAGCTATTTAGGAGTAATGGCCTTAACTTTAAAGAGCATTTATAATGGATTACTTATTGACCACAATGTCAAAAATGATAGATCTTCACTCTTCTGCCTGCCTAAAGGAAATCCCCCAGAGGGTAAACTCAAATAAAGTCAAAAAGAAACAGGGTGACACAGCAGAGCTACATTTGGGATTTGCATTTGAGGATCTGATTTCTGCCCCACGAATAAAAAACAAAACTAAATCAAAAGGAATAGAAATTGCTGTTCCAAAAAGCCCATTATTTTTTGCAAGTTTAACTCCACAGTTGAATTCAACTTAACAAAAACTCAAGGAACTGCTAAGTATTTTTGAAACTCACATATGCTGTTCGATATTGTGAAAACCAACTGGATTAAGAAATATGGTGTTTACTTGGATAGTTTCTTTATCAACATTGGAAATAAACCCCAAGCTCAGATTTCAGCTCCCATCGTGTGTGTTACATGGATTGAATGTACATTTCAGGGCTTAAACCGCAGGGCTGCTGCTCGGCCAGTTTTTCTACATCAGGCTTGTGATTTGTCCAGAATGACCCAGTGTATATCAGTGACCTACAGTGAAGGACAGAAATTATATATATCCCAGATGAATGATGTTTTTAAATTCGATGTCTTTTCTAGGAATAGCTCCACAGCTAAGCTAGACCAGAAGGGTTATTAAGATTTGTGCCTTACCCTAAGTTCTTTTATAGGTGGGCACTTCTGGCCTGTATCTGTGAATTCATTTTTACAGAATGAGAACAAATAACCAGGCACTAATCCACACTCATACTTACTAAATGTTGAGACAAAAGGTATCCAGCAGAGACCATCTCCGAACAAGTAGGTGTGTATAATTCAATGATCAGTGTAGATCGTTTGTCTCAATCTGAGATAATTATCTAAGCCCAGCCACATAGGTTGTATTTGGTTTCTTTTACTACGGACTGCCTTCGAGTTTACTCAAAGTGACACTACTGGAACATGCGTGAATCCATTGTTAGAACTAGTCCTCCAAACCAGCCAGTGACATGACACCATATTAACATATTTGCCTAAATGAAACCCTACATAGAAAAGTTGCCATTTCTATTAGTTTTATATTAACATCAGAGAGGCTTGATATCCATCTTATACCGTGGAGAGCTCATAATTAAGAGAACAGAGGGCCTATCCATGCCAGCTGGACGCTGGGTAATCAATTTCACTTTCATCTGGCAGCCCCTCGTGTTCTCCACCATCTGAAGGTGCATTATATATAATCAGGGATTAAGATGATTAGAGGCACCGTATTGTAGGAGTGAAAGAAAACAATTTTCTTTTAAAAATCAGGATAATACATGAAGCAGATAAAAACGACGATTGTTTCTACCTGTTAAGCTCAGGAAGGGTCCTGAGAATTAGCACAAAATGCTGGGATCCTAGAAGTCAGGAAGGAAGGTCCCATTTGAGGTTGTGCAGTCTCACCTGGCACTCACTTTGCAGCTTATCTGCCAGAAAGGCTCGTGGTCCCTCCCTGAAGGGTGATGGTGTCTGTCCTCTACAGGCGTCTGGCCAACACTGGGGATCAGGAAGGTCTGCTTCCTTGCCCCTCCCACTGTTCAGTCTTCCCACCTCTGCCCCTCAGTCCTCTGGGTGAGAGCTCTTGGATTTTCCACTAGTCTCCAGTCTTCATGCGTCCGTTCAACCCCTGGTGCTTCCTGGTGGTCCCGTCCTAGAGAGCTTCAGCCCCCTGGCGCTCCCCTAAAGTTCTGTGGAGACAGTGTAGCTAGTGCAGATTTCCATGCAGTGAACTGCTCCCTTGTTCCGGACACCATCAGGCAGCTAAAGTATTAGCCCTGCAGCAATTTCCTCATTCTCTTGCCTCATATTGAGCTTGTGGTCAACTAAAATGCTCAGCTCTTTTTTTTTGTGAACTACGCTGAAGCCACATATCCCCTTATTCTGTTCTTATGCAATTGATTGCTTCACCAAAAATGCAGAACTTTGTATTTATTTCTGCTAAAAACTGTGTTTTGTTTGTTGCAACCCGACGTTCCTCAGTGGGGTCACTATGGCAGTTTGGGAAGGGTCTTCCTTCCTGGGATGGTCCTGTGCGTTGCAGGATTTTTAGCACCACCAGTCCCCTTCCCTCTAAATGCCAGCAGCCACCTCTAATCACCTTGATGACTAAAAATGCCACATACACAAACTCTTTCTGGCTTGAGAAACATTTCAGTCCATCTTTCTAACCAGGCAAGTCTGGCTTTCCTCACAGCTGTCCTTAGAGGTCTGTAGGTCTAGGGCATTTCAAGCCACATGGACCCCCATGTTTTGTTTATGTGTTTTTAAAGTAATGAGGTCTAACAGTGAGTGGTGACCCCACTTCCCAAAGGCCAAAGGCAGAAAGTTCAGTAGCCTTCCCCAGGCAGCTGTGATCCAGCATCTGTATTAGCTGTTGCTCCAACCTCGCACGAACATTTACATGAAACATCTTTGTCCGAGCCTCTGATAAAAATGTTGACTGGGACAAGGTCAAGCGCAGAGCCCTTAGAACGCTCTCACAGCTTCCCTCTGGGTCACTGACTCGGAAGGTAGAGCACCTAATGCCATGGTGCTCCTCATGATTTTGATGACTTTTGCGGAAGGTTCAATGATTTCTTTAATAAAGTTGGTTACAGAATAAGCTAATTAAAGCAGCTTGGTCTTTTGCTTCATTGTTTAGTTAAGTCTGGCATTTGTCTGGTATTACCCTTCTTAAGAGAAGAGAGAAAAGGCTTTCAACCATAGGCACAGAGTTAGTAACTTTCTAATGGATCCTAATGTTCCTCTTCATTAAAAAAAGCGGGGGGGAATCAAGCAAAAGCCAGTTCACTGAGCCTCATTGTCACACCCTATCTGATTGTGTCTTTAGGTGTAGTCCAGCTGCTCCTTCGAGATTGATTACCATCAATCTGCTAAGCTTCAGCTGGTTGAGTCGGTTTTGCTCAACAACCAATAACAGCTAAGCTAAATTTGGGTCATTAAGACCGTTAGGGTAGATCATCTGTCTGAAAGTTAATCCATTCATTAGTCTCTATTATGTTGACCAAAAAGAAAACAAACCATATTTGAACATCATAGTGGGTCAGTTTGATCAATGTGTCTGGAGGTCACTGTGATAATGCAGATGCAAAGAAAATTTGCACGTCCACATCATTTTGTTGCTCATCCTACCTAGATTCATTTTAAATATTGCCAGGTATGTGAGTGAGTGGGGCTAACTTCCAGGTGCCATTTACATACTGAGCAAGACCTTTGGAGGATAATTTGCACAGTCTGTTGCTAGCAGAACACATTCTCTATGTGCTTATTTAAACCTCTTATTTGAACATGCCTTTGAAATGACTGGTACAGAAATTCATATGAAACTTTAATATTTGAGGAAAAGAAGAGGGGCAAAGAATTGAGATCAGAGGAGATAGGGAAAAAAATGGAATTTCATGAGCCTTGAGTCTTTAGCTGATAGAGTATCGCACAAATCCCACAAATAAGAGAGACCTTTGAAATCCTGAATTCGCTGGAAATTGGATCTTTCTGTCAGCAAGAAGAATTCCTCTTTCATACAACCTAGGTGCCCATGTATAAATACTGGAAAAGGTACCTCGTTGAGCATTTAGAGTCTGGCATATTCTGCGTGTGGGCAAAGGTAGAGCAGGTAATATTTTAGGATAACAGTAGGGATGCTTCACTCTCGTTTATTTACATATTCCTACAGACTTATATGTGAGATGATAAAATGTAAATAAACCTGGAACTTAAAATTTCTGGAGCATGACTAATCCTATCCTAATGTGTTTTCTGTGTGTGTATATCAGATTGTCTTAAAGTGAGCCACACCATCACCAAATTATCAGGGCCGAGGCATATTCCACCAGGCACCCAGGCAGGAGGTCAGGCTACTGGAAGCATCTTGTTACTAGCAACTACTTATTCTAAAAGCCACAAAACCGTAGTGATCTGGGAGAGACACAAGAAGAATCAGATCTGAAAAACAAACAACTCCATATGATATAGCCCTTAAAAAACAATCTTGATTCATGCAGCCCTGGCATGTGACAGACAAGCTTCTCGGTGATGTGGACTTGGCAACCACATTTGACATGTTGGCCCACTGT